AGTGGATCGATACAACTAGACTAATTGCTGGGTCCTCGTTTGGGGAGGCTGGCTAACTAATCCGATTGCTTAAGCGTAAACACATCCGGCGCACATACAGAATGGATGATTCAAGTGCGTCCAACGTAGGGCGGGCCGAGTCGTGGTGATAAGTTCATTCCACACGTGCAGACCTCGAACTCCATCATGACCAAGAGCATGCACTACTGGTGAGCTCATATACGGGTCGTACTCAAGTGCAGTGCCTCCATCACAACCAGAATAATTGCTTCGGGACAGGACGAGAACAAAGTAGTCTTAGTTGGTGAATGGCCCCTGAATTTATCGACTGTACGAGTGAGTAGTATTCTGTTTGCCTTAGACTGTGGCTCAGTACGATGTATCAACAACGCTAATGAATAGCAGCCCCGTTGGTATCACACTGATCCATCATACAAACCTTCACTTTTCATTCAAGCGCGTCGTCTCCTAGGTGCCAGTGAAGCAAACCGCCAAGGATGTCGTCACTTCCAAAATGTCACCTGGACTCGAGACTGTCGTCTTAAACAAAGGTTGCGTGCGAGCCAACCGTAACTACCTTTCTCTTCTCGAACAGCAAGGGTGAGAAAGGGCTTTGACGCCGGAACAGGCAGCCGACTCAAGATCGGTTCCAACCGTCCAAAAAAAACAACCTCTCTTCCCCTCGCCATCACGATTTCTTTGTGTGATTGTAGACAAAGTTTCCCCTTCTTGAACTAAGACAAACCACACCCAAATGGACACAAGACTCCTGGGAAAGACAATTTCAGCATTTGGTTTACACAGGTGCGCTCTTTGGTTCGATTTCTCCCGAAATCGATTGCTCTCAGGGTTCCCGCCATTATACGGCAGAAGGACCAGTCAGTAAGTCAACTAACGTGGAAGCTTGAGTTTTCTGATTCTTGCATTTACTGGTATGCTGGGGCTTCGATGTGATGTTCACACAGACGATCGAACAATGGTATTTTTACTTCCTTCAAGGTTTGGTGTAAACTCTACGAAATAACTCCATGAAGAGAGAGAGAGGCACCCTTTTAATTGATCTTCCTTCCTGTAAGTTATGGCAATCTATGATGAAAAGCTGAGAATCGCCTTACAGGTGTTTTTTTTCGCGGGAATCATGAAGACTGTGTAGCTCACAAAGCAAAAAGGAAACGAAAATTCGGCTCAGTCATCTTTCAACCTGGTAACTCCTGTTCCGTGGCTCCTCGAGCGGCGACTTCTGAGTGGAAGTTTCTCTCACCAGGTGCATATCGTCATTCGCCTTCAAGTCCTTAAACTGATTCCACCATGCGGTGAACACAGTTCATATATCATTGTGGCAGTATCCTGTTTCAATTTGTGGCAAAAGTGAATGGCAAATGGCTCTTCATAGACAAACAAAATATCAGAGTTTAATCGTCAGAGGTTCTGGCCTATTCGTGATATCGTGCCCAGGTAGACAAGACACTACAAAGTTCTCCTATGCGGCCACCTGAGTCCCACATCCGGCATACACTCCCAGCACAGGTAGACTGTCCTACAAGAATGCTACCGTCAGTCAGCTTTGTTTGGAACCTTCATCCAACCGACAGAGATTTGTAGCGACGATGCTAGTGATCGTGTTCCTTCCAATTGAACATTTTGAATGTTGCACAACAGCACCGGAGGCGTGAAGAACAAGGATCAAGTTTCAAAATGAATGCACCTGGTGGAACCAACGAATAAATGAATTTCGGCAACCGATGAGTACATTTTCCATGACTTCTATGCCGTTCACTACACAGAACAGCTGGGATTAGTTGTGATAAAGATGAAATGGGGTTAGGGAAATCTGTGCGTGGTATTCTCAATGCCTGACATCCGATTCGAATGCGGTGAAGCCACTGGAAGCATGAGTCTAGCTGAAGAGCTACACTCGTTGGTGATGGGGTAGATACGAAGGGATTAGATCGATGGGTGAACATGCGGGGTGGGTGGGGGGTTGCTGCTCTGGCTTTCATACTTTGCCTCCAAGTCATTGTTTGACCGCCTCTGGCTTTCTTCCACCCTATAACTAAAAAGTTACAAACTATTGAAAGGAAAAGTAAACTCATTATATGCACCCCGTTTCTTTTAAAACTGAACATCCTCACGCGTGTTCTAGAACCTTCGTGGATATTCATTGGCTATCATGAAATTGTAAACAAACTCTACAAACCAGTTCCACAAATTCCGTAACTCCGCGATGCGGAGTTGAGACAAAACCACACACTACTCGCATGCCTCATCAGTAGTGTCCACCGGTACACAGGTAATATTATTACCATTGACCGGTTAAAGGTGCCACCTGCCAGCTCTTCTTACTTTCGGCAAAATACCCCACTTATCTCAGTATAGTACATCGGTGTCAAGTTGCTACTGAATCACCTCGAGGCTGAGAACAAGCATCAAGGAGAACACCACGCCCGAATAGGTCTGGTGTTTCCGAAAAGGTTTGGTGACAATCGGTAGCTTTATTGCTAGGCAACGTTTCGCTTTTGACACAAAAGCTTCGTCAGGCCAAGTGTGACTAGGTTCCGAGGTTGGTGGAGATTTAAGGCGGAAGGTGTTTGGTTACAGCCACCATTTGTGCGAAAGCATTGTCTTCTCTGGTCCCTCCGACGAACCTGACCTAGTGGTCACTTCTTGTCTGATGACAACGCACATCAGACCAATCCTGTTTCGTAACTCAGACGGTTAGATGTGGTTCTGATACCCTTCGTTTGGACTAATGCGTAGGTAATGCTATGCGCCTCTTTACTCCACTGTAACTGTGTGGCTACAACAGCAATCTGGGAATTTCCGGAATGTTCTGCAACAAACCTAGTGCGTCACAAAATTGTGGAACAAATGCCCGTCCAAATCGGGCCGTGTATGCATTACTGATGTGACTTGATTTGCTGCAGAATAGCTCCAATAAATTTCCGAAATACCGTAATATCTTCAAAAAAGCGTCCTTCCAAGTTGAACTAGCCTGTAGATGAGATCACCTTCTGTCTCCCAACAGGAAACAAACTTTCGTCTATGTCCTTTTAGAGAGACCGTCACGTCTTCTTTGACCATTTCGGTGGTCTACCGATATCGTGCAACTGTACTTCGCGGAGTTCCAACTGGCTTCAAAACACCAGATATTGTATATTTTGATGGATACTCGCTTTAAGATTCAAGTTAACACTTGGAGAAACTTACAAGTGGACAATCAAGAGTGGTCTCGACTGAAGGGTAGCAATTTTTCTAATCATAGCGATACATGTCCGTATAACAATATAGGACCCTCAAAAATTTACCTTTATTCCGCCATCTTAGTGGTGCCAAATTGCACGGAAATCCAGTGCGCGATTTCCGAATCCTGATCTCTGGTCCTGTGAGATTTCGCTTCATGGACATATCAGGATCGGTCTCTGTTGGAAGCTGGTTGTTGGTGCTAGAATGCGTCAGTTTCAAGAGGAACTTCACGTGATTGATACAGTTCTCCGAGAGGGAATCTGTATCTGTGTCTGGAAGGAGCACTGCGGTTGAGAGAATCGAATGCCATGACTTGTGGTGATGTATCTTACAACCCTGCAGTCTCTTTCAACATCGTTGGTGTCAGTGCTGCGGTCCTAATTTCCACCATCAAATAACATTTCCATTACAAATTCAGTCGCGGCATCTTATTTCCTCTCAGGTATCAAGCGTTCTAGCACAAAGTAGCGTTGCATTCAGTGCAGCCACAGTCGTTTCGCAGCTTACCATCGACCAATGTCACAGACTGTTGTGTACCGATCGGTCATCCTGTTCGACCAATCACGTTTTCGCGTCATATTAGGCTGGGTAGTATGAATGTTGGCCGGTTCGGTGACCTGATCTGTGCGCACCGTGAGACAGCGTAGAGCAAGACAACAACGTTTCTCTTACAGAAGGAAGATTAACATAGTGAGATACCAACATGATATTGTTTGGATTCATATTCTATTGATTATCGGGTAGTTTGACCTTTGATATCATGCACGCAGAGGCCGAAAAACGTGCACCCGATGAGTGAGACTTCAATCTAAGTGGTCCTCACTCGAGGAGCCAGTCAACGCGTATGGCCACGTGATATGCAATCTGTAATTAAAGAATGAGTACTGCTCTGTTCCAAGTGCGAGTTAATCACTCTGATGATCAGCCGCTCGTGATCGAACGACTAAGTGTCCAAACTAGCGGACGGGATATCGCGGGTTCTGAACTTTCTATCGAATTTTTGGAAGACATACATCAAACGGAAACAATAATGTCCAATCCCGGACCACGTTACATTGAAAGCTGAGGTTTCATCTCCCATCGAAGCATTTTGAAGTTTTTTGCAACCATTTTTAGGACAGCGGCCTTTTTTCATGCACTCTGGGACGTGAATCACAAGACGTACCGTTGTACTTGGACTGCATTTCTACCGTTGATGCCCTATCTTGGAGACGCTCAACATGGATAGCCTAGACGTATCGTGCAGTATACTTTCGTATGAATTCATCAGTTTGGCATGCGTACGCAGTTACAGGTTACAGGTGAGCGATGATATCGATCTATCAAAAGCTGAACCTCGCGCTCACTTGTCGGATCAAAGCAACGAGCGAGCTACCCTAATGAACTGCCGAAGGTTGTAGGCTTGTCCTCGGTGAATAATTGTGACCTGTCCACAACGGTGAATCTCTTACAACGCCAAGTAAGTTCATTTCTCCAGACTGTTTTCTGACTGTCCGCAGCTTAGCAACATAAATTCAAAGGAACTCAGTCTCTGAAGCCGACATTTCAAACAATTCCAGTGTTTACAAGCACTAACAAACAAGTGAATTTAAACCAGACATTTTCCAAGGACCCTCTCACTACGCAAACTTGAGTCGCGTCAACATACTCCGATTTTCCGATTAGTTCGAACCGACACTTTGCATTAAAAACGGTCAAGGTTTGGATGACAAAACTTCTATTCGACAACGTTTATTTCCTTCAATAACGAGCGTCTTCTAACTTTTGAGAGAGTTGAGAAGCTTAGTGAAGTCCCCATAGGTGTCTTTGCATTGTTCGAATATCCAGTCCAGTTTCTGAAGCTGGTTGGCGGCAATCTGTGTGCAGTTTGAACATTTCGCAAAAAAGCTTTTGAAATCTTTGGAGAAAACGTCCTCCGGTTCCACCGCTAACTCGTCGTCTGCAATAAAATCAAAGTGCTCTGGTGAATCGGGGTTCAAGTTTGCAGAAAATTCGATAAATGCAGAAACAGATTTCCACCCATAACAGATTTTGGTCAACAACTCATCCATTAGAGGTATCTTTGTAGGTGGGATATCAGAATGACGGTTTGTAAGTTCACCAAATCAAAAAATTCACGCTTACCCAGGGCCGAGTCGTAAATCGCACTCAGAACGAGAGAAATGAGGTCCTGGATCATTTCACACTCGTGTGATCGCACCGTCACCACGAAAAAACAAAGTAGCACCTGTTGGTGGTTTAAGGAGAGAATAGAATTGAATCGGGAATTGTGAGCAAACCAGACTGAACATTTTCGGCAATATTATCGCTGACTCTCGTTCTAGGGCTTGTTTCGAATGCCTTGTTTTTATATTAATTGATGGGCGACTATGAGGTCACTTGTGCTCAACCCATCGACCGTGTGTGTCCGTTTATTATCGCACAGCAACGAATTCACTGGAGTTACCATTGGGCAGGGAAATTCAGAGAGTATTCTCACGAAATTGTCCCCTTGCGATATCTTTCCCACCATGCATGCCAATCAATAGGATTTGCACCGGCAAATCGATTCTACTAGCTTATCACTTGAAGAAATCCTCTGAAAATCCTTTGCATGTTTACATCAGTCTCATTCGAAAAATCCTTTCCCGATCACGACGCTCGTTTTGCATTGAGTCCACGCGAAAANGGAATTGGGTTTCGCCCATATCGGAGCTCATCAGTAAAGCACATCCTTGAGCTTGCCAGGCTTCAACTCTAGATGTTTGACGCTCAAGGGGAGATTGTGACAACCGGCGCACGCGGGACACCGGAATTATCACGCCTGATCGGGCAAACGTATTCACGATCAACAAGCAATGTGGTGTCTAAAATATCAGCGAACAACACTCGTTTGCAATTTGTGTTCAAGTAGAACATAAGATTCGCGGAAACCTTTTCATGAAGGAAACTACGCACAAAGTTGCTGAAAACCTCCAACAGCAGTAAAGCACATCCTTGAGCTTGCCAGGCTTCAACTCTAGATGTTTGACGCTCAAGGGGAGATTGTGACAACCGGCGCACGCGGGACACCGGAATTATCACGCCTGATCGGGCAAACGTATTCACGATCAACAAGCAATGTGGTGTCTAAAATATCAGCGAACAACACTCGTTTGCAATTTGTGTTCAAGTAGAACATAAGATTCGCGGAAACCTTTTCATGAAGGAAACTACGCACAAAGTTGCTGAAAACTCTCCAACAGCCCACGACCGGTTTCACCCTTTTTGGGGCTCATCAGGTAGGCCCCGAGTTTTCATCAACCTTATGTTCCACTTGACGGAAACTCTTCAACTAGTCGATTTCAAGATCCATCAGGACCATGAATTACAAACGGACAGCACACTCTACTGGATTGCTTGAGACGGGAAGTTCGTTTCGAGCACACACACACACACAAACTGGTCTACTATACCTTTCTCGAAGTAGTCGTCTGTGGAAGAGTTACCGTGTCCGCTATTCCCTGCATCCTAAGAACAAAAGCCATCAGAAATGGACTTTCACTATTCCTAACAGACACAAATGTGAGTGCACAAGATTAGGCAAGTTAACACACTGATTAGGATGGATGCAGGGAAACGAGTTCAAGTCCGAGATTGACTTCTCGATTGGCAGGTCTTGAACGAGAATACTTTCTAATTTCCTTCGGATTAAACGGAAAGGTCTACAGAATTCTCATTTTCTGTTTACAATACGCACAAATAAGCAGTACTCACAGGACATTGAAGGCTGTGTATCTTCTTTATTCCTCGCGGTATAGCCTCAGCCTTAACATGATTGGTCAGTTGGGAAACGGTGTTTCGTGAATTTATCGGTCAATTTTTGGAAAATGAGAACGTTGCCTCCCAATTAGCAAATCACAATAAGGGGTAACAAACACTAAATAAATGCACACAGAAAAAGAGGAATTACCTACCAAATGTGTACTGATGACGTCTTCTCTTAGGCTGACGTAACTTTTGTATGTCTAACTCGGCGAAACGATCAACAGCTGGCTATCTGATCAACAACCAATAAGCTTATCCGAACTGCGAATAGTTCGACGGAGAACAGCCGCGCGCAGTTTTGTTTAAACAAGTGGACGATAAATGATACATTGACGGTACCCTGTGAAGCCCTCAGTATACAGTGGAGCACCCCACTAGACTTGACGAAGAAGTCCTCTTCCGGGGTACCCGGGAACGTCAGTCAGCCGGCGCATCAGATTTGCGGTATCTGCCCTGCTTAATCAATATGTTCTTACTGCAAATCTGTGAGGTTCATTGATCTGCCGACCGCTAAGATAATGCCATGTTGCTCAGGCCTAGACAGGGATAGTCGAAATTCCACATCTTCAGGTTTCATGAAACAGGTGTTTGGTGCTCCTGGGTTTCTGGAAATTTGTCCTGCATTTTTTATATGTTATTCAATCCAGTGTGAAACCAGATGACGCACAAGCCCGTCCTACATCATCCACGAGATCAAACTTGGAGGTTTATTTACCATGAGCATCAACTTCAGCGTTTGCGTAGAGTCTTTGGATCACATCCAGGTAACTTCCAGGAAGAGGTACCGTTCATCGGATGTAGCTCAATGATCGGGGTGTAGAGTGACTGACTGGAACCTTCATGATTCAAAATGGACCCCTGCACCTCGACCGCTCCTGACTAGTTACAACGAACCTGGTAGCATCTCAGATCTGGTGCTTCCTTTGGTTCGCATGAACGCGCGTCTCTCATTTGAATTCCGACGTCAGCCGTCGTAGTCTGTCTGTGATTTATTTTTCTACGTGTGATCGATTGCTCGCAATTTATTTTAGCCATGTAGATCTGGCTGCGATAAGCGGTTTTTTGCTAGAAGAAACAAGGGAAAAAGAAGATTTTTCGAAAGAAGACTATTCGGACCTTCAAGGCTCCCTACAGGTTGGAATTACCTTTGACAAGTTTTAGTTATTCCGTCTTTTGCAGACCCAGTGGAGGGAAATCAAGGAAGTTGGAAGCGAGAATTCTTTCTGAGACTGCTCTAGCGCACTAACGATTTTGGATGCATCGCGATTGCGTTCAAATATTCCTTACGGCAAAGAATGTTTGGTAAATTGGAGTCAATTACACCTGATGAGGAAGAGACTTGAGATGGAACTCAGTCAAAAGGAGCATCCAAGCCTCAGGGGAGACACGAGCCTCCAACCTAGCACTGGTTACTTCGGCAACATTGAGGCTGCGAGACTGACAAGTTTATCGATCACAAATGTACTCAGCAGAGGGCCCTTGGTGCTAGCTCATACAACTGTAGATTCAATGTATGTGTGATCTTTTGGTAGTGTAGTGAGATTTCGTCTCATCTCTGAAGGCAATGTATGCTGAAAAAGCAAGAAGCACTGTACAGCTGTTTCATCCTTACAGGAAATCACCACTCTCAGGAAACTCAACAGGAATTTCTGAACCACGACTTCCCGGCTAGTAGCGTAATCGCTCAACCGTCCGACCATGGGCGGTTGATAAGAAATATGATAAGCTTGCATGTAGACACTGTAGAACGCTGCTCATCTTTCAATCACAGAAACTACATCACGTGGTCACGTGATTTGTTTGAAAACTAGGTAAGAGATTCTACACATAGACCAAACAAGACGACTGCAATTTCATTTTCAACGTGTCACCTAAGTTGACTCCCATGTCACCTGAGATAACTGATCAGGGCTGTTATTCCCCGTGAGTATTCTATTTCGCCGATAGGGGTTTTACGGAGAAAAGTTTCAAGGAGCCACCAGCAGTTAGTCTTTTTAGGCGGCCGATTTCAATTGATCTCCACAAAAAAGTAAAATTCTTTGTTACCGTAGAATTGGAATTTTTTAAAACTGATCAGGACAACAGGGAACATCGTGCCTGAGGGAAATTTGAAAAAAGAACGTAAAGATGACCTTTAAAGTTAGAAGATCACCACAAAAAGGCATTATGGTTCTCACAGGATATACTCAATGCAACAGTGAGCTTGGATGCTTCCTATGATGGAAAAACCCTCAATTTTTTGTTTTCTGTTCTGGAAATCAATATTCAAAATCGATATTAGTGTATTTGCGAGCTTCGGAATCCCCTCGAATATTCCTCGCGTCAATCACGACTTGGTGAAGAGAACTGAGGAATGTTCAGCGTAGTGTGACGGTTTGGGTTCCTTTCGTGACCCACTGAGCTATACTAAGAGTGTCCGTGCGACCAACTCCGTCTCCAAGGCATCAAGGTTAGTGGTTAGAACATGTGTGGTAACTTGATCTAAAAGATGGCAATGCACCTGCATTTCCCGCCAAACGTTGTTGCTTTTCGGCATGGCCAGTGGCTTTGGTTGAGGACCCTAAGCGTCAACCTTTACGGGCCTGGGCAACTAGCAGTACCCCATCTCACCTACAACGGCGATAATCACAGCTAACAGTGCTTCCACGTCACATCGACCGTCACGTGGTATCGCCGGACTGGTCGCCTTACGTGGTGCATAAATCAGGGCGGGTAGTTGAACACATATCACTGCTGAGGCCTCAATTTCACGTGCTCCATCTTCCACCCGACCCCATGCCAATGCCAAAACCGCCTCTGCAGATCCCAGCAATCGCACTGGTTGAATTGTCGCATTCCTTCTGTCTGTCACAAACCGAGAGACTGACTTTCCCCTCGGCCTCCGTGCCTCATTTAGAGCAGCGCAAAGCGCTTGGGTGGCCGTCTATGGGTTACGCCTGCACTGCGCCTGCCAGACTACGAAATAGGGAGAAGACAGAGAACTGCGGACACGGCTGTATTGCCAGGACAAAACGTACAGAGCGTCTGCGTAAATATATAGGATGACCAATTGGCCAAATATGGTCGTTCACTTGTTCGTTCCGTACAGCCAATGGTGGTGTTCCGATGATGAGCATTTTTCAGGCCCACTACGCTGGTCGTGTGTTGCTAAGCCGTTTGGTGAGAGCCGCCAACTCACCCCTACTTTCCGGATGTATCGAACCGACGGTGACCTTGGCGATGCGTCACTCTCTGCACATGTGCTCTTTTCCTGTCTGGGCGCGTCCTGATAGAGGTGGACAACGTACGATTTGGCAGAAGGGTAGGAAAGGATTACCAAAAGTTTGGGTGCTGTTGGTGCGATATGCCTTCCAGGATGCAGTCTGCGACTGTGTTTGGCTAGAGAGATTTTTTAAAAAAGGCGGCCGAACGGTTTCAGTAGCGTTTGTCCTATCAGCTTGTTCCGGGATTGTCTGATTAAGCAAGCACCTCGGTATACTTGACACTCGGCAGCACCAAGTCCTGTCTCCAACCCACTGGTTTTATCACGGCAGTGAGGCATCTGTGGCAACCCTGATTTTGCCGTCTTTGATGATGACGATGGCGGTGAAAAGACTATAAGAAGAAACTGAGTTATCACAGATAAAGTTTGAACAACCATCAATGGCTCGCAAGGTATGAAGGTAGTCCAGTTTGTGTAAAATTTCCCACCCCCACAGCGTGTATCGATTCATTACGCGGTTTTTTCCAACTTGAAAAGTAAGCAGGATTTGTTTCTGTTTAATTCCACACTGGCGACGGAAACTCTCCGTTTTCAGCTAATGTTTCCCATTGCAAAAGCCATTCGGGCACATATTGTATATGAGCTTTCACGTGAATTATCAATGCGCATTTGTGTTTCCAGGAGAGAACATACTCTGATGGAATATGGATACGGTGCTGTGAACACTGCCACATGTTTGAGGCGGTCTCTGTTCGGCGGTTTACCCATCGAAATCAGGTACTTTTTAGAGGAGTGGCTTTTTTTTCAAACGTGATCCCTATTGAGAGGTATTTTTAAGTGCCTGTGCTAGATATCACTTGTTACAATGGGGGAAAAGAAAGTTTGGTTTAGCTCCCGAAACCAGTCATCAACAAAACGTCAGAAACGAAGGGTCAAATATGCCTCGTTTTTCTCTCGTCGAGGAGTGCCGGAGTTGTGCCAAAGAGCGTGAGGGAGACAAAGTGGGTGTCCGTCAACCAGATCACCAAACTCAAACTTGGAATTTTGCTAGGAGTTGACAAAATCAGTGACCTAAATACGCCTACTACCGATCGCAGCCAGCCGATCGGGGAGATGTTATCGGTGCTGCTCGGAACAGGTGTAGTAGCAGGTTCGGGTGTAAATGTGACGGCCTTGTTCTCAAATCTGGATTCTTGGAAATGTTTGGCCGACAGAAAGTCCGTTCGATCAACCCTTCCGTTGTAGGTTTTTCTGCGTTTAGCAGCACAAAACGATCAATTCCTAAGCAATCCGATGCCAAACCCAAGGGAGAGTAACCGCATAAAACTCATTCAAGAGGGCGTAGAACATTTAATGTCGTTCACCACTAGGTACATTCACAGATTATCAGTTCTACTGAATCTCAAAGCGGTTTCCAAACGATTTTAGTGAGGACTCTGGTTGTTCCATTGAACCAGGTTTGAGAAAACTGTGACAACCAATGGTTGAATTCGTTTCATCACTTCAGGATATTTCGTTTAAGAGATTGTGACCTGTCGTGGCCCACAGTCCCCTAAAGCGTTCTTAGTACCATGAACCCCGGTCTGGACAGCCGCTTGATCGTCTGGTGCGCTTGACAACCCAGAAAAAGTCAATGAACGTGCGTGCTAGCTGATTTATCGATCACTACCGCGTACAAGGGGGTCAAAAAAAGTGATACTAAGAATACAAATCATCTGTCAAGGGCGAGTGAAAAACAACCAATGAAATCAATCTGTCTCAACGAAAAACGGTTATTCTCCATTGGCAGTTATGTAGTCCCGTTACACTCGGAGCTGGTTCTCCTAATACAACCAATCATGTGTGACTATTTGAAAATTTAAACGTTGAACATGGCGGACATTACCTAGTGACCAGTGGCTAGACAGAACGTGAGAATAGCGTCCATCAGGTCAAGTTACCATGTCACCCAAAGGAAGCACCAGTGTCGAGATACGACAAGGCCGCCGTTCAAGCGCGGTCAGCAAGATCACGCCTTAAGCATTGAACTGTCTCGGGCAGTTTATTGCTACTCGTCGATTAGGTAATCTGTGGATTCGTTTGCCACTGAACGAATGGCACCCTCTTGTGGAAAATACCATTGCAGCGCCTGTATTTTGTGATCGAAAATGTCTCTGGGTCCTCTCATCCACAATTACCACGGGCTACACGGGACCCTATCTAATGAGCCGCAGCTCCAGTTAGAATGGATTCCTTGCCCAGAACCCAGCAAATGAATATTCACCTGATTCGAAGAGTTTGAGTTACCTACAAATGGTTTACGGTCGGTTTTGTCCTACAAATTTTTGTTTCGCCATTCTTGGGTGTCATCGAATAGGCGCAGTCCCTGAGATTCCGTTAACCCTATAACCTACTCAACTAAAACTACTCAACAGCAGAAAAGTACGCTTACTTGCACACTAATATGGTCAGAATCAACTGAATCTCAGTTGAGCATGAAATTCTTCGAATTGGCACGCAAATGGGAATATTTCGCAAATTTTGTGCAATCCGGGCACAAGCGGACCATTGAGGTTGACGGTCGCATCGACTTTAAATGTCCCCCCAACATAGAGTGAAACCCGTCGTGTGATTTTGAAGAGTTTTCAGCAACCTTCTGATGAGTCTTCATTCAAAGAATAAAACCTGTGTAACGGTGTATACTACTGATGAAACACGCGAGTAGCCTATCACCAAGTGCCCAAACTCAGCCCCCTCGTCTGATGGAAGGTGAAGTTGTGGGGTACTGTTTTCCAGTGGTCGTTTACTATTGTATAACAGTCAGTGACTATCCAGGAAACTTCAAGAGGAAGCGTGAGGATATTCAGGTTTTAAAGACGGTGCGAATATGTGATGATCACCCTCCCATCTAATGACTTGTGACCACATATCACGTGTTTGCTAATAAGTGGCCTCTCAACGAGGGGCTTTCCTCTGTTCATCGGTGGATGGTCTATGCAGCTGGCTGAGGTTCTTGGTGTGTGCTGTTTTATTTCACGAACTCATCGGTGGATGGTCTATGCAGCTGGCTGAGGGTCTTGGTGTTACATAGAAATCCTTGTCAAGAGTGCTGTTTTATTTCACGAACGCGTTTCCCTGTTCAAACGTGACAAATCAGAGGAGATCAGATAACGCCAATCGCGTCGTGGCGAGAAGCTTGCCAGACGTGCGGAGCTCAAATCCTGGCAAGGCCATGGATATGCACTTCTAATGAGCTCAAATAAGATCGAGCCTCGAGTTCATTTGTTGCCCCATTTAGTGCACACGCACCAGAATAATCGCGCTTTTACAAGCGAGGGCGATGGAAAGGCGTATTCCACCCATAACCATTCACTACTATAAACGTTGTTCGCAAGAGAGAACTCGCTTATTTGCGTCTTATGCCTACCTAGGAACTAGCCTCAGAGCTGCTGAATCGCAAGGTTTGCCAGAACTAAGGTGCTTAACTCACACAGTTGTGCGTTGGAAATACCAGGCAGATTTACAGTCGCTTTTAGGGAATAAATGATCGTACCGATGCCTACACTGGTTCTTGTTCTATTCATATCCTCCCAGTCTCTTAGTTGAACACATGTTAGCAGCAACCTCGTGCTTCAAACTCTTGCGATCAAGAGACATTTTGGCACTGCTCAATTAGATTTTTATACCAGTCCAATTTGGTTCAAGCAGAACATAAGATTGACGGAAACTCCGGGAATGCTCAAGAAGGGTGAAACCGGTCGTGGGCTGTCGAAGAGCTTTCAGTAGTCTCCTTTATGTGACTTAGTGAATCGGATTTGGACAAAGTGTTTCATGTGGATTAAAGCGGTGCGTATAGGTTCCCCAACAACGTTCTCATTCTTTTCCCGGTTTTCCCCTCGTTTCATCGATTTATTTCGTACGTTTGGGTTAGTTGTCACCAAGGCCGTTAAGTCGCCCGTCTGTCTCTGAATAAAACTCGTTTAGTCGGAACCAGTTAATCAATATCGTATCAACTGATTGTCATTCAGATGTCCGTTTCCGTGAGTTTGTAACACAAAGCAAATGACAGGGGATTGGTCGTATGTTCAAAGTGTTGGCTGGACTCCCGTTTCATTTCAAAACAATTTGATGGGGTCACAGCATTTGTTTATCGCTCACATGAAGTACACGTTTAAATTGAAAGATAAACACAATAGATTACTCTCCCAAATACTGTTCACTGAACGGCAGTTTGCTCGAAGCTGTCTTTCAGTTCCATGAACGAATCAAACTCCGGACACAACTCGAAAACTCCAGCCAGCGTTTGCAATATACTCGCAGCAATGGTGGTGACGTTCTCTTGAGATGAGAACAACACTGTCAAGTGTTGATCGAACAGCTGTTCTGGCCGAATGTGATCCTTAACAGCTGTGAATAAATGGGAAGAAAGGACCACGCGCATGAGTTGGCCAGTTTTAGGAACTCAAATTGCAGAATCTTGGCAATTAAGCATGAACGAAAAGATTCAATGAACGCCTTAAGCTGATAGCAGCGCTCTCACCTTATTTGGAAACCCTCGTCACAGAATATTTCCCTCACTGTGGATGCATTTCGCCGATAGATCTGTTCACCGGGAAGCGCTTGGTTCGCCACCTCGCCAAGGCATCGAAGAATGCTGTGTCCAAGCAGTTCCAACAAAGACGATGAGGGTGGGGGGAAGCACGAACAATAGGACAGCAACTAGTTGCACGTGAACTAACTTGTTACGAACAATTAGACATGAAAGTAAAAATCGCATTGTCAAGCGTCCTACAAAACGTTATCGAAACGTCTTTGGATCATAAACAATAATGAACAAACACAGCAAATCTGTCCTATTCAGCTTTCGTCTTCCACTGTTTCCGGGAAGGACGTTTGACTCCTAACGAGATACTACCTGCTTGTGTAGTCAGTAGTATACACACCAGCCTGGCGTGGAAATCCCCGTGTTTCTCACCGAAGCATATCAATATTACTCCGTGTTATTGGCAATGTGAGTTGCCACCACTTACGACAACTTAGCAGCACTCGTTTGCTTTCCGTTGTACGTTGTCTGTGAACCAAGGCAAGCTGCAGAAAATATCGGCTATATATCGTATAAATCTGCATATGTTTGTAGGACCATTTACCGGTGGCCTCGCGAGAATTTTACGAAAGTCACAGTGTGCGAATAAATAAGGTCACTGATGCCACGATTCCACGTGTTCGTATTTCGAAATTCATTCCAAGGTGAGCGGTGTTCATGCTAACCAGCACACCAGAAAATCAAACAAGCCCAGAGATCCCCAGTTACCTATCAAATAGACCCAGTTTTTCGAAATTTGCAGGTGAAATTGATTGCCACAGTTTACTAACAATAAATCCGTGAAACACTTACAAAAGGCAGAGTCATAGAGCGCACTCAACACAACCGCAACTATCGGTTTCATTAAGGTGCATTCGTCGGCCTGGACTGACATCAAAACGACAAACAGTAGTATCTACAAGAGAAAAATAGAGCGGGCAGAGTTGAAGTTCACATACGATTTGCAACATGCTCAGCGCACAGATTTTCATCAGACGGTAGCACGGTGATTGGACTGTTTAAGTAGCTGATACGGACGCAGTCAGGAGTGGAGCAATCAGAGGTTAGTATTTTATCGATCGAATTTCGCATTACGTGTGGCCTGATTGGTAGCAATGAACTGACGAATGAAAGATCAGATCTAGCGAAATACACTCGTTTGCATACCAATTGGTTTTTGACGGAAGTCTCACAGGGAACACACCTGAATCTCTCATTTATGACGTTCTACTTCAACCTAATGTTTTTGGGCCAGGCTGCTCTACGTTCAAGCGGAACATAAGGTGGACGGAAACTTGGGGACTGAGCCCACCTGATGAGCTCAAAGGTTAAGAAAACCGGTCGTGGTTTGTCGGAGAGTATTCAGCAACCCTATGAGTAGTGTATTACGTCCAAAGAACAAACCTGATTATTGATGCATCCCTAAGACTCATTATCGGATATTCAAGAAACGGATCTACTTGCAGGGCAGTTCTCTCGGTGACAATCACCCTTATATTGCATTCCTGGCTGTACAGCTGCATACCATGTTCGGAGTAATACAAGCCACGAATGAACAGCTCTCACGACACATGCCATGTCGTTGACTGCAGGATACCGGACTGACTTATCAAAGTTGCCTCATCATCATCATCAATACAGGGATGACCGGGGACTGTTCATGGGGAGAAGCTACGCTTGGATGTATGTGCAACGTTACTGAGCTACGTCCGACAATGTCACTAACCATTCAATGCCGTCGAGAGATTCCCATCCCTGGAGACGGTGATGACTGGCGCAGCCAAATGTGTTGGTGAGGGCTTCCTCACTTTTTTTTCAAGGCATTGCTTGACCCACCTGCCTCGGCACAGCCGAAAGGGTCCTCGAGGAGGGCGGTCAGTTGGCATGTGGAGCACGTGATCAAGCCAGCGCAACCGATGAAGTGTGATTGGTTCATCTACTGCGACCTAGTTCTTCCTTCTGAAAACTGGTCAGGTATGTTAACATCAGCGGTCACATATTCCCACCAGATCGTGACAATGCTCCGAGGACAAACACTGAAAGATTTCAACATTGTTACCTAGCCGTCTCCAGGTTTCTGATCCATATGACACTGCAGAGCACAACGCAACATTGCAAATTCAAGCCTTGATAGATAAGCTGATGTCTTTTGTGCAACGCAAAAGCCAGTCTGACCTAATACACTACTCATGAGGTTGCTGAAAATCCTCCTTCGAACAATCCTCAGCAAGTTTATGAGTAGTATATTACTGCTATTCATATTTCGTGACATAAGAAATATCATTCGTGAGGCGGCCTGGTGCAGCACATTCAGTTGCCTGAAAACAGCACAAACGAGAGATTCAGCTGGGTTCCGGGCAAAACCGAATTTGTTTGCAAATGAGTATATTTCGCCAAAATCACTCAGATTATCAGCTTGCGAAGGTCATGTTCATCCAATTTTTTCACTTTTTAAATATTGGGTTCATAAGGCGGAAGAGACCATTCAGGTTTTTGTCAATCGATCGGAAGCAGTGTTCAAAGAAGTCTTATTGTCTGGCGCATGCGATATAATATCAGTGAATTAAGCAGGTGGGTATATCGATAATCCGCGATCATCTGTTACAAAATTGCTGGAATTTCAGAACGGAGATGACGGATCACGATTGTTTGAAGCTGCAACTGTCACTATTATTCCCCGGAGAAAACTCCGAACAAGAAACACCTGCATTGAGGAGACAGTTTTGTTCGCCGCAAATTTTGTTCCGAGAGACAAATAGGAGACGAACTTGGATATTTCACAATTCTACAAGGGGAAACTACAAAGCAAAACACTGTGATACTGACCCAGATTTATCACCGAAAAGATTGCTTGAACGTCTCGCCAGAAACACTCTTGATACACTGACCTTGGAGACATATCCGGGTAATTTTTTGGGGCGGTTAGCTGTTTGGCTGCTGAGCATTGATAATGCATTGACATTGTGCAAGAGTTTCTAGCGACTTTGTGAGTAGTATAGTACGTCTATACGTG